CCTTAAGTTAATATCTCTTTTCTCAAACCAATTTAAGAGCTTTTTCTTTTAACAAGTGAACTTAACTTCTTCACAAGTATAGTGATTACAAATACTACGTTTTATTCTTGGCATCCTGTTTTGTATTTTATACTAACCACATCTTTGAAGCAATTCTTTTTATTTCATTTCCTGTGTCTGTTGAACAGATCAAATATTCTTCATTTTCCTCTCCCAATGGTTTGGGTATTTACCGAAGTAATTGCCTGTAATTTTACGCAAACACAATAGCCAAAATTATTTAGTGTTTAGGTTCTGTTATCTAGCAACCTCACCCATAGCCGCCGCCCTGTACACAGGGCTAGCTTCTCCTTTAGTCCTTACTGCCATACCCCATGTTTATAGCTGAGATTTCCATTCAGATTATTTTGTTTCCTTTTATAATCAACACTCTCATTTTCTTACTGTTGTTACTGGTCTCAGTAAAATGAATTCCTGGCTCAATCTTGTTTTCTGTGTGACATTTTACTGACGAGGACGGCAGAATAGAGGTGAGGTTGCTGGGGGTGGGGGGTTGCAGATCGAGGTACTACTGCTTCTGGACTCCTATTCATTTATTATTATTACTATTATTATTTTAATTTTATTGTGATTTAGGTGAAAGTTTACAGAGCAAATTGATTTTCCATACAGCAGTTCATACACATTTTGTCTCATGACATTGACTGCAGTTCCCCACAATGTAACACCTCTCTTCCCACTTCCTCCCTGTAGTTACCTCTTCCCTGTGTCCTTCCCTCCCATGAGCTCCCAGCCCCTAAGCCGTCTCCCTGTGCATACACTGCTGTTCTGTTCTCCAATTGATTGCTCCAAGTAGTGTATCTACCAAGTAGTGTTCAGCCCTATGCCTGTTTATTATTTGTCTGGAAGCCATAGGAGTGAGTTCAATCCCAGACCTGAAGGGTAACTAGGGCCCATAGTCTCAGGGGTCTCACCAGGCTCTATCGGACCAGCAAACCTGGTCTTTTTTTTATGACTTTAAGTTTTGTTCCACATGTTCTCCCACTCTATCCAGGATCTCCTGCAGGGATCCCCCTGTAAGTGGTTGACAGTGGTATCCGGGCGCAATCTAGTTCTTTTGGTCATATAGGCTGAGGATCGCATGGTATACCCGTCGCTTGGACTAATTGTTTCCATGCATCTTTGGTTTTCTTCATTCTTCTTTGCTCTGGATGAGGAGAGACCCATCGTTGCATCTAGATGACTGCTTGAAGCTTTCAGGATCTCAGTCACTACTTACCAAAGTAGGAGGTGGAACAGTGTTTTTGTGTAGTATGTTAAGCCAATTGATGTCCCCTATGACCATGGTCCAGAGCCCAGAGGTCCAACTGCTTACTCCCCTTGGGTAGCTGGCTGTGGCCAAGAAGTCACCACAACCTTGTCCCTTGTCAGCTCTACCATATACCCAGACATTCTTAGAGCACATACAAATCCACTTGAAGAAACATTGTCTGCCAACCCTATATATGGTCATGGGCACACTCCTCCTGCCTAGATATACCTGATTGTTCAGCCTGTCCACCCATCTATCCACCTGTAGATCAATGTTTGCCATCACTGACAACACAGTACTATATATGCAAAAGGGTTCATTCATCTTTGCTTTCTGTACCTCCCATGCACCTCTCTATGTCTTCTTCTTCCTCAGTGCCACCATGTTAATCACTCACATTTGGCACATTGCCCTTCCCTTCACTCAAATCAATACTTATCTCTACCTATCTAACAGTGTTCCCTTCCTTCCCATCCCACCCCTGGTAACCAACAGAGAAAGTTTCAGCCCATGTGTAAACGTTTCCTTGACTTTATACCATAATGAACTAATACAATATTTGTCCCTTTGTGATTGACTTACTTCACTCAGCATAATTGGACTCCCAGTCACTTTTTATTTAGTGTTACCATTCACACACAGTTCATGCAGTATTTGCACGTGGACCGTCTTCAGATTTCTTGAATATGTTAAAGAAGATACTCCTGTTGTTTCCTCACTGTTGCTTTTTCCTGTTGTTGTCACATAAACAATGCCTCGTTTGGGTATAAAAGTGTCGTCATCTTTTCTTTATAGAGCATAGATTTTTCACAGGAATAATGTAGTAGCCAAGCTTACATTATAGCAGTGGGGATCTGTAACACCTTAGACTTCCCTTCACTTGACGAATACCATTTTGAGTCAATACTAAGCATGACAATGCTGGGTTAGAGGTTTTGTGTTTCCTATAATTTGATAGCTACATATAATTTAACTTCCTTGGTTTCACAGTTATTTTAGAATATTCTAGTGCTTATTGTCTTTATGAAATAAGTATTTTTAGTAGGTATGATTTGCTAATTGCTAAGGAAGGGAACCAAGGAGTATACACTCTTGCTGCATCTAGGATCATTAATTTTTCGAGGAGATACACTATTCATACATGAAGTCATTAAACCTAGAAATCACTTGGCCCAAATTATTAACAGGAGGCTTGTCAGCGAGGTTCAAGGAGAATGGCAGCAATTCCAAGCAACAGATGCAATGCTTATAGTTTTCCCTGTAATTCTCTCTGAACTATAGTTTGGTTGCGTTGCTTAAGAAAAATTAAAGAAACAGGTTGAAAAAATAAGAGGCCAAGGTCATCTATTTAAAAGTATCAATATGAGTGATATAAACTAAATTCATTAATAGTTCAGGGAAGGAAGACAGTGGTGTAGCTAGAGTCTTAAGTGAGAGGATACTCTAGAGCTGAGAGTAGGTAGGAGGAGTTGGGGTCACTGTTAGAAGACCAAGGCTTTATCATAACATCATACACATTGCTGTGTGTGTGTGTGTGTAAAATCAGGCCACGATAGTAACTTTTCATTTATTTATTTACTTTTGCATTTAGGCCATAAACAGGCTGCTTTTGACTGAGTGGTCACAGTATGCTAGGCACTGGACCAAGATTGTTCCTACTGTACAGACAAGGAAAGAGACACAGAAGTAACCCAGTTAGTGAGTGGTGCAGCTGTTTTAATTCCAGGACAGGAGCTCTTAGCCTTTGAAAAGAGTTTACTCTGAGTGTCCTCATAGATAACATGGGGATGTCTCACTTCCCTGACAGTCATATGAGGACATAGCAAAATCTCACAGAAACAGTAAATGGTTACAGTAGTACAAGGTGATTTTGAACAGTTATTGAATAATAGCCATTGGAAGGCCTGTGTTTGGTGCTTCTTAAACAGTAGTGTGTTCAGCCTTACAATAGCTCTATGAGATATTGGTATTGTTCCCATTTTACAGAGGAGACAGCATGCTCAGTCAAGTTTATACAACTTGCTAAAAGACACAAAGCTGGTAAAGACAGAGCTGGGACTGAAACCCAAGTCCATGTGGCACCACGATCTCGTACACCGTCCTGCTGCCGCCCTGGAGTCCAGGGTTTGAGTGTCTTCACGGCCTTAAGATACTTCTCAGGTTCTAGAAATCTGCTTGTTTACTTACTTACTGCTTCTCTTTCCGAGTCCAGAAATTTAGTATTTATTGTTTCTCATTGTCCATACAGTGGACAAGTGGCTATTTCTTAAGAGTGGCTTAAGACAAGGTATCCAGATTATTTTTCCAATATTGATTAGTCTCATAGATTTCATTCTATGAAATTTCATTATCTCTGTATTACTTCCATTTTCTGAATTTGCCTTATTTGATTCACACTTTACATTTTAACGACCAGAAAACTTCATGAACTTTGCCTTTTGTAAGGAGACCGGTGGGTGGAAACTACCTTTGTTCTTTCTGTTTTGTTTTATTTGTTGTTTTAAAGACTGCTTCACCTCTATCAGACACAAAGACTACAGAGGGGAGAGAAAAGGGAACATATTTTTCACTAAAAGAGTTGACAATTTTATTTTCACCTGTCATAATATAAACAAGATTTTTTTTTTTTTTTTTTTTTTTTCTGGTCAACTACTCCATTCCAAACTATTCTCTCTTTGATAGAAAAGGGGGCGGGTGTCTTCCTTGTTGTTTCCTGTTAGAAAACACTCAGAGCACCGTGACCACCTGGTGAAGTAGTACAGTGTAAAACTGATCCAAAGGGGCTGCCCTCTGCCCCTGGTTGAGTCATTCCTGACCAAGTGGGCACTGTCATGGGTTGGGTAGGGGTCTTCATCATAGGGGGCCCAGCCATCGTTGGCACGTGGCCTCTCATGGGTGACCTCATTCCAGGAGCAGGTCCCACTGGCATCATCCCAGGAGGAGAAGGGCCCATCATTGGCATCATGGGAGGGCCCCCCCATATGGGGTGCTGGCACCTACCAGGGCGAGGAGGACCCGGGAGACTGGGGGAGGCAGGATCATCGCCCCTGCTGGAGGAGAACCAGAGGATGGAGTAGGAGGTAGCCTTCCTTGTTGAAACGCAGCTGTTTGTTTGTCAGCCAGGCTGAGCTGCTCATCCATCCATTTCAAATAGTAGTCTTTCCCATTCTCTCTGTTTCCTGCCACTGCAGTGCGTCTCTCTCAGGTGGAGACTCAAGGTGAGGTATGTATCCCAGTAGTCACAGTAACATCTCCCCAGGCTCAGGAGTAGCTACCACAGCTGCTCCCCGCCCCTCAAGATTTCCCTACTACCACAAATAGAAAGTAGGGACCAAACACATTACACAGGGTTAGGAAGTTACCAGGGATTGAGTATTGTTTCAGAACTACCAAAAATGGATTTGCCACGTTTGTTCTTTTAAGTCATTGTTGGTTCCATAGTTTGTAATCAGTGATTGTTCTCTGATCGGAGAGTAATATAGAAAGAGGGATTGTCAGCATGAGCTGTCATCCTGGCCGTGGATGGCGCCAGTGGTCTCCATGCCTTTACGGGGTGGTTAGAAGTACAGTTTGACTCTTGGCAGTTCTCTGTCCTGAGAAAACGTGAACCTGGAAATGAAGATATTCCTGCGCATTTAAGGTTTGTGTTCCTTTAGGATTGTCTTGGTACCTTTGCCTGTAGGTGGCTTACTGTGGAGGTACACTTTCCTGGCTAACATTTCCACCCCTTTTCTTTTGTTGGGATTAGTGCCAGAACAGATAAAGCCCAGTGTAAGCCAGCCTCAGCCTGCCACCTCTAATAACGGCACTTCCACAACTACCAGCACTAACAATAATGCCAAGCGAGCCACAGCCAGCAGCCAGCAGCAGCAGCAGCAGCAGCAGCAGCAGCCGGCGGCGGCCTTGCCTCGATATCCTCGTGAAGTACCACCACGATTTCGCCACCAGGAACATAAACAGCTTCTAAAGAGGGGTCAGCATTTTCCTGTCATAGCAGCAAACCTGGGATCTACTGTTAAAGTGCTAAACAGCCAGTCAGAGAGCAGTGCATTAAACCAACAGCCACACAGTGACGGAGAGGCACAGAGCAGCACAAGCCAGTCAGGTGAGAGAAGGTATTTCCTGTGGGGCTCAACCTCTGTTAATCATTAGCAGGGTAGCAAGTCCGTGGCTTTTTGGTGATATGTTCACCAGTATGTGGGCTGCAAAATGTGCATTCTGTAGGGTGTCGAATGGGGAGTCTTGAGATATTCCTGTAAGTTACCTGCCCATCCTAGTTTTAAAATTACTATTAATCACTTCCTCTCCTTACAGGTTCTGCCCACTTTAATAAGCAGCTTATAGCTAAAATTGAGCCTTTTTTTTCTCCCAAGTTAATGTGCTAAGCGGTTACCTATATTAGTGCATTTAATCCTCAATAACCTT